GGGGGGGGGGCTAAATGACAAGAGGGGGTGTTCCCACAGGGCACCATGTGCATTGGTGTGTGGCTGAACCCTTCTCTTTCATATAAGCCATCTCTAACCTCGTATTTCAACAGGGAACATTCAGCACGTATAAAGGGATGTGATACTAGACATTAAACAATAAACATAACAACAATCATAAATATTCCAAGTGTGCATTTGCAGCTGGCAGTAAAGTGGCAGGTAGCGCAAGAAAGAATAAATATGTGCATTAAATTAAGCCCATACATTTCTCAGCTCCTGCGTAAATCCAGTGTGTGAGCTGGGCTTATTCTCAGGGGGACTGTATGGTCCTTCTTTCTGGTTACCTGTGCGTGACCCTGAGCAAACACACCCACGCCTTCCGAAGGGACGACACCCAGCGGCTGGCCGTCGGCGTGAGAGGGACTGAATACGAGGAAGACCTTGGAGGGAGGAAGGAGAGAGGAGCCGGCAGACTTACCGCAGATCTTCAGCGGGGCCTCCAGCTCCAGCAGGATGGGCTGGCTGAGGAAGATCTCCCTGGATTTGACGCAGAGCCCCCGCACCTCTGCCTCTGTCATCTGCACGATCTTGCCAGGACGGCATCCTCGCACTGCAGGAGCAGAAGCAGACCGCTGCTGCTCACTCCGTCACCATCGACATCCTCACCCACACGCACCACCCTCACCGCGCACGCCGACCGCGGAGCGGGCACCAACGTGGGCATCGGCCACAGAATTATCGTGGTTAATTCAGTCACACTTTGTTTTTGTTTTTTTTGCAGTAATGTTCACTGCTGTGTTTTCAATCTTGTCCTTTCTCCACGTTTAACTGGCGACATCCCTGGGCAGGGAGTCACTGCTGCACCCCTCTGGCAGGCAGCAAAAATACAACACGCTAAGGGCTCAGCAGACTCCAGTTCCAGCTCGGCCCCCGCCCCCCGCCCCCCCAGACAGCTCTCAGTATCAGCCTTTCTGCTCATGTCAGGCGCTGCTGCCGTTCAACAGTAACATGTTATGTTGTGTTGCATCATCGCCTCGCCAAGGCTGCCGATGTTTGCACTACCCTGAGAGTATTTTTGGGAGAAAATGTCCACACCACCCTCGGTGTTGGTGTGGGGAGGGGGGTGTAAGAAAAGACAGATAAGAGCTGGACAAACAAGGAAAAACAGGAAAAGAAATAGAAGGGAAAAAAAACAACAACAGACATCTACCTCTTATCTCCCTCTGTGACACCATTAACTAAACAAGAGTAATTTCATTATAAGTTCAAAATTTCTATTCATACAACAAACCCTGGGTTTGATACGTTTCATACAACAAACCCTTCATGTGCTGCATTTGGACTGAGAGGAAGAGACACCCTCTGTGAGTAAAGTAATGGTGTGTGGGGGTGTGATCTCCAGTCCAAAGGAGGCACGCTTGTACAGGGGGTCACTGTTACGACAAGCCTAGCCTCTTATGAACCAACAGCCTTCGAAGGGGCTTCCAAATCGGCCAGTTTTAAACACAAGCTGCAGGAAAACTGTGTTGACAAGAAGCCCACAAGCAAACGTCCCTCTGTCCGGGTCAGTGGTGAACCGGAACGAGGACAGACCGGGGTGATCACTCCAGCTGTGGCTCACGTCCACCTTGCCCGGACCCAACACCGTTTTTAGGCCACGATATTTTTAAGGCACTCTGCTTGAAGCACTCTGCCTTCCCACCGCCAGCACCCACATCCAGGCGAGGCACTCTCACGGCACGCCAGCAGCCAGCGCACCCCCGCCTCCTCCTGCTGACTCAAGCGTGGCAAAACTGCGCACATATGCTCGCCCGAGGGACGATGGAAGGCGTCGGTGCCTGAGCCGTGAGTCTGGCCGAAGGCTGTCGCTGATGCAGCTCCGCGTTCTCTCACGTCGCCACACGCGCCGCGTGCCCTTGGAGGGGGCTGCTGCTCGTGGGACTAATTGGCAGTTAACACTAGGATGACTCCAGGGAGAATCAAGACCTAGATTTTCAGCGTTACCTCCTAAGCATCCTTTAATGTGTGCTTTTTCACCACAAGAAGTGATCTAAAAATGGTGCATTAAAATGTGACTTGAGTGTTATTCCACACCCACTTTTCTTAGCCCTGGCAGCAATGAATACAAGAGACGGCATTTGCTCACACAACTGCTAATCAATCGTGTTTAACTGTCAAGCTCCACCCACACCAGCAGTGCACCATCTGTTTGCACAAGCATGCGGACATGGCCACGGGCTCCTACTCGCCTGACGTGCAGAGTCGTGCAGGAGACGGCACAGGAGAGGCACGAGTAGGCAGTCTGCCCTGTCAGAGCTGCGGTCTGCCAGCTTCCCACTGGGATTCCACTGCCCTCCAGCTATGCCCGTGGGTGCAGGGCCTGCCGCTGTGCCCATTTGCCTCATGGAAAGTGCACAGCTACAATCGGTTACCGTACTGGGGGAGCCCTGAAACCGACTCGATGTTCAGCCAACAGCAGACCAGGGGAGCTGAGAAGAGGCAAGTGACACAAGAGCCAGACGTGCCACGTCCAGAAAATCTGTGTTGCCACGATGCCAAAGTTCTTTATGCTGAAGGAGTGTTGCAATATTTTTACCAAGACAGAGGAAGAATTAAGAAACAGCAACCAACTCCCCAGTTTAAAAAAAACCAAACATATTTATTGCCAGGTATTTCTCAAACACAGCTCACCTGAAATTACTCGACCATGTTCTCAAAGGCAAGTCCAGTCAAATACTGCAGTCTACATCAGAACGAACTTCTCTCCCCAGTTCAGTGTGCTTCTCTCCACAGCACTCTGCACACACCCAGGCTCAGTACGTGCCGGATTTTCATGCACAGCACCTCTCTATAAAAGCCCTTTTTAGATATACTCACAGCGCAACCTTAGTGACAAACGACCCACTCAGAAAGTAGGATTTTATCCAAACTGGTCCAACCCGATTGCAGCGTGTGAGACCAATGTAACCAGGAGCTTGGGGGTAGGGGGGTGTGTCAGCATGTGACCACACAACTAGCCAGTTTACTTACCCAATGACTAACCCCCTTGGTATCTAATCACCTTCAGTTTAACAGGTGTAATCCAGATTGGAGCCTTGACAGAAATGGCATTTCATTGACTAATTCTTAATACGAAGCTCCCCGCCCATTGTAGCAGCAGTACATAAATACATTTATTTACATTTTTCGTCATCAGAAGCAGTTTCCAGTCTCCTGGGATACTGGCACTTGTTATACCAGTGTTGTAGTAAAGATGGGCGGCACAGGCTCGGCCACAGGGTATTTTTACCCCCCACACCCGAGAATGGAGGAATTTGCGGCCAAAAAGCGATCGATCCACCGCCCCCCCCAAAAACCCCTACAGCAAAAACGGGGTTTCCGCTCCGGGTTGCACACGGACACCGAGGGCAACGTAGCAGCCGAGCTGATCCAGGGAAAGGCGGCAGGCAGCAGGCAGCTTAAGCTGCGGTCCGAAGCACCTGAAACGCCATGGCGGCGGGGAGGCGACGGACAAAGCGGGGGGCACACGGGGACCCCCACCCAGCCTCACACAGGACGCTACGCCACAGTCCGCGCTAAATACGGGTGCAAGGCGTGTCGAAGCCCACGGACCCGGAGCTGCGTAGCCCGGCGGCGTTAGCGGCTCCCCGGCGAGCCCCGCTGTTTATAAACACCAGCGCGGCGGCTTCGCCTCCGGTCCGAAACGCGGCGACGGCGGCGCGTACGGGCGAGCGGCCGCCCCTTTAGCTTGCAGCGTTCCCTTCTTCCTCCCCCTTTCCCCCCCACAGTCTGTCCCAAGCGAAGGCGGCCTGCTCTTACCTTCCAAGAGCCGAGAGATGAGGCTGTCAACGTTCAGCTCGCCTTCCGCCATCTTCTGAACTGTAATCTGAAGGGGAATCGCCCTCGCTTCTCGCGCTTTCCGCCAGAGGGCGCGCTTGGGCTCACAGGCGCGCAATCACGAGGCAGTTCAATAATGAAAACGGTGGTAATGATAATAATACTACTATAATAATACTAGCTTTTAATGAACGGTGGCATAATTAAAAACGCAACAGCGATGTAGTAATAATTGATAAAAGCAGATATTTATAAACTGCTAATTACAAATAAACACCGTCACCTTTACAGGCCACCTTTCGAAAGGGTGTTACCTGAAATGTTTGAGCTGGAGAAACATTGAAAACACCGCCCGTTTCACTAGTTAACAGCATGTGGATGCCTGTATCTGGGGTTTCATTTGTTTTCTTGATCGTATTAATTCTGGACAAACCTTTCCAACAGCCTGTGCAGTGTCTGGTGGTGGATAAAGACGACATGTCAAATTTGGGAACATGCATTAAAGATATAATGACATTTCCCTATTTCCCTGTTTGCTAATGCCATCAAAGCGTAATGCTGCATTTTTTATTTAGTCTGTGTAACATAATTGCCGCACATGAGCACGTTGTGTATGCAACGTATCGGTGGTGAGCACCACCCTCGTTAATTTGGTAGTGCGTGTGGGCATTGGCGTTTAGCACTGATTTTGGGTTGAGTTTCGAAGCGCCAGACTGAAACACTGACAGGCAGCCTGCACAGCACATCTCCCACATGCAGACACCTGACACTCGCATATGGACCCTACAGCCGTTGCTAACACCAGCCTGCCTCCCGTTCGTTCTATATTTAGGCTTCGCCTTACTTTCGCTTTCTGCTCAGCTCACCAAGCCATAGTTACTCGCCGCTATTCACCGTGCAACGAACTGGAGAGTCTGGTACTATTAAAAATTCAAGAAGTGGCTCTAATGGATTAGGCTGCTTTAAACACCCTTACGCATCTGCAAACCGTCTCTGCGCATATGACACGTTCAACACATGAAGCATCTTCTCAGCTGTGTGTATGCACCGATCAGTCTGTCTCTCTAAAAGCCCAGGGGAGGGCGAAGACTCATCCCGCTTGAATGCCTAAATATCTGATTATGACACAACAAACAGAATCAGATGAGAAGTTTTTATTAAAAACAAATCTATGAATTTTTCTGTAAGTACATATCTGTACTTACTACATTTATAAAGCTTAAGATTTGTCACACATGCCCTGTAATATTTATCAAGACACTTCAGCGTGATTATCCAGCTTGATGACACAAGAACCAAAGCTGGAGTAAAGCCTCTAACTTCATGGTCACCGACTCTGTTCATTAGCAATGGCTTCCCAATGGCTCGATTTGAGAAGCAAAGAAAACTGTGAAATCTTAAATTACAGAAAGCACATGCATAGCCATTAAACAGTGGATTAAGCGGATTAAAGGGTTTGTTGTTTACATCCTTCTATCCATCCATGCATACTGTTGTCCAGAGGAGAATTTCAGTTGTAGGTGCATTATTGATTTCAGTCCATGTGCCTTTCTTTTCCGTATTTTTAAATCAGAACCCAGCACCTTTCAGCTCAACATTCAGAGTCGCTGTCCTCTTCATCCTCTGCTCTCTGTAGAACAGCAGGATCCAGGTGACCCCCCAACCAATCAGCAGGCCCGTGACCCCGACCAAAGCCACCGCCCAGGCGGGCACTATTTCCCCACACAGAGACTGAAACGGCGTGGCGGTACTGGCGGGCGGGGTGGGGGCGGCAGCGGTGGTGGTGGGAATGCTGGGAAAGCTGTTGACGATGGTGAATATGTACGGCTGGTCCTGGAAGGGATGTAGAGATTAATCGGAGCAGACTTGAGGAAACCCTGCAAAGGGCCTCAAACCCTGCTCACCCCTTGGTATTCTGATTTCTGTCCAAACATGTCACTTGGACTTAAACTAAAGCTGCTTAATTTAAACCCCAAAATAATTTAATTTCAATCAAGCTGAAGACAAATTGTTAAAAAATGTCTTGCAGCAAGGGCAGGGGACATTTAAAGTTAAATAAGGATTAATAACAAACAGTGGATAAAAAACAGCTCATAAGGCACTGTCAGAATAATAGTCTTTGTTTTTTATCTGAAAAACAATCCAAAAATACTCTCAGGCTGAAGTCAGGAAAGTCAATGTATGTAAAATCAGCAGCTAAATTAAACTTAATTAATTGGAAAGCTCGTAAACAATGGCTCCAGGGCAGAGTTAAACTGAGTGGGGCTCAGGGTGAATTACAGAGCCAATGATGAGCTTCTCTCACCTCTGTAGGACACCGCAGCTTGTTACGGTCGTAGGTGAAGTTGTTGTACGTCTGCTTCTGGCCCACAGGCTCCAACTGCAGTGACATCATTGCCATAACCGTATCATTGTTGTCACATGACGTAACATCCCCCGTGATGTAACTACATCCATGAACTGTTCATGCACGAACCGAGAGGTGGCGCAGACTGTGTACAAAAGCACGCATGCCACCTAGTGGCGGCGAGCGTTCTCACGCCCTTACCATGTTGTTCCAGAGGGACATGGCCATCTCGGCGTGGCCTCGCTCGCTGAAGTGGAAGCAGTCCACCGAGAAAAAGCTCAGGTCCGGCTTCCCGTCCTGAGCAAAATCAGAACGGTTATTGCGCCGATGTGGGACACCACGTTCGCAGCCAGAGCCATGAAAATACATGTATGAAAGTTCTGACAATGTCTACTGTCATAGAGGACAGAGGGGTCATGCCAGTAGGGACTGAGAGGCCACATGCCCCCTCCCTTCTTTTGGAAGTTAGATGTTTTATTGTATTAATATTTAATTTGTATCACGAGATCGCGTTGCAGACACAGCACATTTTATTTTCATGTCACTTCTTAAACACCTGCCTAGATTCAATTTGTCGTATTCTCCCTATCCACTACTAATACGCACTGCAAGCATTGTTTGATTTCATTTGAATTGCGCAGTCTTTGAAGCCGAGCGATCTTTGCACTAGACGCTGCCTCTACTAAACATTCAAATAAAGTCAGTCATCTTCTAAAGTACAGCTTTTGGGCTACATATGTCGATGCGTAACCTCGGCCTGGCGGCGATTTTACATTGGTGATGGCAGATAGCTGTATGTGTGTTTAGAGAAAGTACGTGGAGCACTAAACGATATTAAACTGAATCCAGGGACAGCCAGGGATCCCTACTTTCACGATGAAGAGATTTATGTAACAGCCTCGCTGAAAGGTTCCTTAATCATCTATCTCTACTTTGCAGCCACACGTCCACGTCACCATGCTATCTGCTCTCCCAGACATTATCCTGTACTTCACAATCCTGTACTTTACTGGGATATTCTGCTGTATTCACAGAGCTGTTGTTGCCATCTTGTGGACACAAAGGATACTACTGACAATATACCGCATTTGAAGGAAGGTTACCAGCTAACATGTAAATGAAAATTGCCACTTTGAGCAAGTCTAATAAACAAACATGTTGTCCTTACTTATCTCTAAGATTAATGTTTATTGTTTCTTTTAAACTAAATGAAAAATGTACCTATAAACAAATGTGAAATATCTTAAGTTCAAGGTAGTTATACATACAGTATTTCCATTATTATAGAATAGACGTATTTGTTAAAACTGTATATTTTTAAGTATGTGTATGCCATTATTTGTTTGACTATTTTTTAATATTTCCAGGAGCTAATCAGATTTCAGCAAATTGGTTAGGCCATAGTTACTTTTTTCATTCAGAATTTCAATTGGCCTGGTTGATCTGATATTTTCCCTCGAAAATAACCAATTTCAAACTTCTCCTCTGATGAGGTGTCATAAAAAGCGTAGGGGGCTCACCAGCCCAAGCGGAATGATGGTGGTTTGGAAGAATGGCTGTATGACCACAGCGAAGTCTTCGCGCCCGCTGTAGCGCCCCCCCCAGACCAGCCGCTCGGTCTCACCCTGCATGAGGAACATAGATAGAGGAAATTCCAAAAACACGTTTTCCAGTGGCCGCCATTATGGTCATATAGGGAAATTACATTCATATCTGAACCATATGTCTGTCTGTTAATAATCATATTAGGATGGGCTCATTATTCAGAGTGTACAGCTACTTCCAGTCCTCACACTTAGAAACCCCCCCCCCCCCCCTCGTGGTTCGATTACTTTCTATGACATAGTCATCAGACTCCCTCTCCACCGTCGAGAAGCACATCAAGACCCACCTGCTACCAGAGACTCCTCTACCAGTCCAGCACTTTTCCATGTTATCGGGTTCTTGCTTTGTTACAAACTGCTGAGTAGCTACTCACACTTGTAACTGGACATTCACAGGAAGCTCCGTGTATCTCCACTTACGCCGAGGCGACTCCCACACAGCTATATATCTGAAATGTGCTATTTGACTCACCTGAACGTTAGACAAACACGTAAATGCGTAAACCACAAACTATATCTCGCTTTACTAAACTATCTATATTGCTCGCTTCCTCACACCCGTGAGGCTCCCTAATCCCCTTGAACCGACCTGGAATTCCCGATTGATCCATCTCATCTCACTCAGCTCCAGGGAGTCCTCTCCTGGAGTCAGAGCACAGGGACACATGTTCCTGGGGAAGGGAGCAAGCGGGAAGCAGGAATGAGACACTCATCCACATGTAGAAACTATAGACACCAAGGAACTCGGAGAGTGAGGTGCCCTCATCCACAAGTAGGAACTGCTGATATCAAGGGTGCGTCTGAAATTGCATACTTGTTCGCTATATAGCAGGAAAAATGTAGTATGTGAAGCCAGCCTCATGTCCGAATCCTGCCTGAGATGGTAGGTGAACGGTATCTGGATGACATCCTACATTCAGTGAAATTCTGAAACATGCAACTGATGGATACTACGCAATCCTACAAGGCGACCGGAGCTGCAACCAGAGATGAAGAACGTCACTAGCTCAGAAATTTCTGTCAGGATAGCAGAGGAAGTGCCATCTCTGTATAAGTATAAAACAATACCTAGTTACATACGTTGACCAAATATCTATTTGATTGATACTTTTTAACAGTTTTAACTTTTGTGGAGGTCAAGCATTGTCACTGGTAAACATCTGGGTCAGGTAATATGCAAGATGCCGACCGCAGTGTGTTCGAGTGCATGCATACTGCTCTCATGCATACATGCAATATGCACTACATTAACAGTAGTAGACTTCTGATAAAATCCAGTATGTACTGTGCAAGTATGCGATTTCCGATGCACCCCAAGGCACACAGACACCGAGATACCCTCAAGGGGAGAACAAATGTGCACTAAGACGTCAAAACTTACTTCTGCAGTGAGCAACCGAGTGAGTCTCTCTTGATCTTCCTGAGGCCATCGATCTGCAGGATCTCCAGCACATTGACCAGCATGCGGGGAACCTGACTCACATACATACAGGGAACACAGCCTTGACTTTTGGAAAATGGAAGAGCTGTAATCTAAGTCTGATCAGAAATTTTAACCCAACCCATTGCCCTAAATACAGGCGACATTTGAAATCAACCTCCTGCTCAAAATGAGAGCCAATCAGAGCAGCTTTTTACATAACATCCTCTGCTTTAGAACTGCCAGCAGAACAGTAGCTGCTTGGGAAAAGAGATATGTTCATGTCTTTGAGGAAGACTGAAAGCTGTTCAATAAATGAAAAAAAAAAAACAGGTCGATGTAAGTCCATCTAAAAACCACGTGATTCGTGATCGGGGGCCACGAGGATGTGACTCCAGTGAGCACGGTCCGTGACACCAGGCCTAGACTCACATTCCTGTACAGCAAGTCCAAGCTCTCCATCAGGTAGTGGCTGTAATTCTGGGGTGACAGGGAAGCCTGGGAAGAGAGAGGCTGCCTCACACAAATGTCCATGTGCCGGGGGCACCCAGAATGCAGGTGAATCACTGGTAGGGTTTGGGTTAGCAGTGTGGATTAGCAACCTGGACCGTAACGCCCCTGTAATGGTACACAGGAGCTGTGTCCATATCCTGCTGCGGTGACTGAGACCGCTGGGAGAATACAGGAAGTCACCACAGCAGCGGAGGAAAGTTAGGGAAGGTCATGGGGCGGGGGGTGGGACGTGTGATTAAGTGCCATATAAGAAACAGTGACACACTTTTTAATCCACATGTGAGAGTGATATATGAGAGGGGGAACATCGTCGATTTGCACCTGGCTGATAACTGCTTGGCCCAGTTCCCAGATGTCATAAGTAACTGGAGAGAAATGTAACAGATTTGACAGTGCGAGGCTAAGTGAGGGTCACCTATCTGTGAATAAACAAGGGCCTTTGGCATCCCTCTCCCAGTGTTACTAGGATACACTGCTGCACTTTGGAGGGCTGGTGTATGTACCCAGTGATGCATCCTGTCCTGGGCGTATCCCTGTGCTGCCTGGGGGGGGGGGGGGGGTAGGATTCAAGGTCCCTGTGACCCTGACGAGGGCTGGAAGATGGTGTGTGTTTGTGTGTGTGTGTCTGTGTGTCTGTCAGCGGGTATACCTTACCTTTTGGGGACACAATGTCCCCACGACGTGATATATACCTGTTTTTTTCCCTTATAAGGACCAGTTTCCTGGTCCCCATAAGGGAAAACTCAATTTAATAAAAATCGATGACTGCAATGAAAACACTAAAAATGCAAAACTCTTGTATTTTGCTTGGTTATTTATGGTTAAGGTTAGGGCTGGGTTGTCATTGTTGGGATTAGGGGTTTTCCCATATATCATAGAACTGAATGGATGGGGCCTCCAGAGATATGAATACAAACATATATGTGTGTCTGTCTCTCTCGGTGTGTGTGTGTGAGGAACCTGGAGACTCACCCGGTCCTGACAGTACTGGCACAGGTCGTTCCCCCCGATAAACAGCGTCACCAGCTTCCAGTCGTTCTCAAAATCCACTTCCTGAGCGCGGTGGCAGTGGGCAGAGGAAGAGAGACAGACTGACTTGACGAGGGATGCCAGCTGATTTTGTGCTTCACCTGGCAGGCACCGTGCCGCTGAGTCAGGGGTCTTGCAACCATGGAAACCCATTGTGGCTTCTATGCAGGAGCTTCTATGAGAGCCATTTGATTGGCTGACGGCCGAATGCGCCAAGCAGTCGACATGCAGGGAGACTCACCTTGCTGTCCCTCAAAGCCTGAATGAGCGTCTCCACCTGGGCAGGGATGTCACTGCAAAAAGAGAGGGAGGAGGAAGAGGAATGATGAAAAAATGAAAATGGAAGGAAGAACAGAGCCGGGGGTAGAGGCATCGTCAGTAGGAAGGTGATGAAGAGGGAGACGAGTCAGAGGAAGATCAGCAGGCTCAGAGCAGAGGTACAGGTTGGCACAGTTATGGCATAGTTCGGCACAGTTAAGACATACAGAGCTAAGCAAGTAAACTCACAAAGCTTTGGCTCCAGAAACGGCCATATTGAAACCCCTCTGTGCAGTCCCAATGCCCGTGGAGAAGCCGTGCAGAGATGGATTGAATTTCCTCAGGATGTCTAATGAGACGGCACAGGAGGAGAGACACACCTCAGGATTAAAATGCCTTTAAACAACATGCTTATGCTAATGCTGCCATCTAGTGGAAAAAATGTAAAGCAGGGCACGCTCACTTGGCAGTGTAGTTACAGTCTCCAATGTCTGATCTCCCCCAATGCTGTCAAAACACACACACCAGAGCTCACATGGGTGACCTCAGCAGGCCCATCAGCACAGGCAACAACAAGAGTCGGCGTCTCTCTCACCTCCATGAAACGCCTCTGTACTCGTTCTTCAGTTGTAGGAGGTTCTTTGATTTGGCTCCAAACCCAGCCTGACAGGAGATGAAGGGTGTTAAAAAGAAGACACAAAGAATCAGTCAGAAAGACTGACCCACACCGGCGTGCTGACACACTCACAGATATGGAGTCTCCCAGGGCCGCCAGAACTTTGATGTCAGTGGGTCGCAACCTGTGAACTGAGAACAAGGCGAGAATAAGCACTTGCCCCTTTTGACATCATGGTCTAATGTAGCAGGGCACAGCACTGTATAACAGGGTATGTCCCAGGGCAAATGCAAATCATGTGGTTAAGTTTGTTGCAGGAGTTTTATGGAATCTGCAGTGGGTTGGCACCATTCATTGCTGGCATGGTCTCACCTGAGGATGGGACAGGGTCTGAAGGCCCGTGGATGGCACAGGAGAAGTCACTCCCCCAGTTCTGGGAGTCAAGCATGCAGTTATAAACACGCTTCACTGCAGCACAACAACACTTATGAAAACTCAATGGGCCAGTCATTCCTTAGTAGGAAGTCTTAGTGATTAGTAAGAGATTCAAAGAGCATGCAGGCTTTCACTGGGCTACGTATGACGTCAGACTCCTTCCCTTACCGTGATAGGTGGCGTGGTGGGGGTGGGGCCACCATAACTGTAGTTGCTATTCTTATAGGTTCTCAGGAATGGTGAGGCCTTGATGGAAGAAACAGGAACACATATGACATTTCCCACAAGAACAGTGACTATGAAGTGTTTCACAAAGCCTGACACAGCCTTTCCTGCAATCAAATGAAACAACTTTGAAGTTGGTTCTGTCTCCAAAATATTAACCTGAACCGACAAAACAATTTACCTGAGAAGGGCATTTGAGTGACAAGTCGTTGGTGAAGTCATGGATGTAGGTCTTGTTACCAAGAGGCTCTAGCTGTATGTGAAGGGAGAGGAAGAAATTCATACCTTCTACAAAGAAGCAGAATGAATTAGGTGACAGAATCACAGGGCAGCTCTCTTACACACAAAGCGCTTCACTTTCATGACTCAGAAACTGACATTTCCTCCTCACTGAAAGAAAATCTGAACATAAAACTAAGGACATTTTCCTGCTGTGAGCTGAGAGCTGGAACGAGTTCAGCAGTTGCCAAGAACATCTGAGCACAGCGGGTCGAGATGCCGAGAGAAGCCCAAGGCGATCCGTTATTCAGCAGTGCTGTGACGGACTGCTGCGTTCAACCGAAGCGTTCAGAACCGCGCCGGGATGACAGCCGACGCACTGCCAAAAGGCCACATCTCACCATGTTGTTCCACAGGGCGCGAGCCATCAAGGAGTGCGACTTCTGGCTGAGATGGAAGCAATCGGATGCAAAGAAGGAGCGGTCGGGGCGGCCATCCTGGAATATGTGAAGAATGGCATCGTGAGGAGGAAAACAGGCGCGGGAAAATGGGTCGAAGTGGGCGGGATTAAAGACTAATAGAAAAAAATCAGTGCTAGCCAGTGCGCGATTCCAGCACTGCAAAATAAATAAAATATGAAGGACTTTAAGAGGAGAGGCAGCTAAAGGAGAATGTTGGGGTGCTCTGAGGGGTGCTGTATGTCTCACCTCCAGCAGGGGGAGCACCACCTCTCGAAAAAAAGGCTGCACAACCACGGTGAAGTTGGAATGTGTGTCATAGCGACCGGACTCCACAAGCTCCCGCATGCCGCTCTAAAATAGGTAGGGAAGGACTGTATCTCTGTTCCTACTCAGTTACACTTAAGCGCGTCACTGACACAGAGTCCCAGGGGTTTGAGTGCATTCAAGCCTCCCATTGGACACATGGAAATCTTCTATGACTGCTGTCCTCAGAAGATCACAGAAGATGTTAAAATGTTACGTTATGTAACATTTTATGTTACGTTATGTCCGCATAGTAAACAGCACCTGATAGGCCCGGTTGAGATCCTTCAGCACCTGGACTTCTGCTGAATCATCTGGAGGTTTCATCACACAACGGCACAACATGCTAAGACAGACACAGAGTTCATAAAACCAAGAGTGGGTGAAATTCTGTGCCCATAACTATTCCTGCTTGGCTGTTAAATAAGTGCTCCTAAGTGCTTTTGGATCGCAGTGTGAGACAGTGCAGGGAACTGTCCTCTTTTCCAGATGGAAAAACCCAGATGAGTATTTAACAGGAGGCGCCCTCCTGTCATTTGAAGGGTTACCCTTTACTGGTTTACTGGTAGCTGTCTGAGACAACACACAGAGAAAAAACTTTTCTTTCTATTTTTAGTTCTTTTACAAAATGTCAATCTCTGCAAATATTGGTGGAGCTCATCAGAGACACACAACGTGAAAGGCAGGAAAATCACAAAAGCACAATTTGGCCAATTCAAAGCAAAGCTCTTCCAGTGAGTAGATCTGTGGTCACTGGACACTTACTTGACCAGCCAGGTGGGACAATTGAGGCTCTTGTCCTGGTGGAGGCGCCGCAGTGGGATGATATTCAGTACCTCCACTAGGTTCACTAAGGCACGCGGCACCTGCAGTCCGGGGACAGTGCAGCACCAGGGGTCAGGAGAGGGCAGACCTCAGGAGACTAGCACAGAATGGTGAGAAAGAGGCTAATGCAGACCATGGGGAAGCACTGGCACTGGAAATGTAAAAAGAGGATGTCTACTAAGGCACTGGAAATGTAAAGAGAGGATGTCTACTAAGGCACTGGAAATGTAAAGAGAGGATGTCTACTAAGGCACTGGAAANCTGGAAATGTAAAGAGAGGATGTCTACTAAGGCACTGGAAATGTAAAGAGAGGATGTCTACTAAGGCACTGGAAATGTAAAGAGAGGATGTCTACACAGAAAGACATGTCAAAACAGAGCTGGAGTAAGGAAACAGAGAGATGGGCAGACAGATAGATTCTGGGGGCGCCCGAAACCGCAGACTTACACACTACATACTGGATTTTGTTAGAAGCCTACTACTTGACCATAGAAGGTAACGTATGCATGCATGAGAACAGTGCCCTCAGACACACTGTGGTTGCCATCTTGCATATTGCTTGACCCAAAGATGTAGCTGGACCCTGATGAAAGTTAAAAACTGTTAAAAACCACCAAAAAAATTAAATACTTCAGTCAACTTATGTATCTAGGTGTTGTTTCTGCTTAAATTTGTAGAGAGACAGCACTTTCTCTGCCATCCCGACACAAATTTCTGAACAGGAGTCGTTCTTCATCTCTGGTTCCAGCTCCAGTGGCCTTGTGGGATAGTGTAGCCTCCATCAGTTGCACTCTTCAGGAATTCTCAGAACGTAGTATGTCATCCGGGTATTGTTCACCTACTGTCTCATCCAAACTAAGGACTCAGGCATACTGCTCACTTTGTATACTATATTTTGCCTACTACATAGCGAACAAGTATGTGATTTCGGATGCACCCTCAGTAAATATGAACAAAAGTTTTTGTGTAACCTCTTGATGGAGGATATCCAGGGCCTGACGTACGTGGGAGACAAAATTGTTTGGCGAGAAGTAAACCTGCAAAAGAAGAGCAAACAGAATTCGCAAAAGCAGCGGTGTCTACCCATTGTGTGTACCCACAATGCTCAGCGGCCGGACACTCACTGTGTCTGTGCAGTGGTCACACAGGTCGTTACCTCCGATGAACATGGTGATCACCTTCCAATCATTCTCGAAGTCGACACGCTATGCCAAAGACACAAGGACACTGAGTGCCGAGTGACAGCACGGCCTACTTGGAAACCGGCAGGACTGGAGTGTCAGCTGACCAATACGCTTCTGGCATTTTGCAAGTACAACCCACCTGCTGGGCAGGTAGGAGCCTTGATAGACTCCACTTTTAATATATTGCAAGACACATTAACTGGATTCCCAGCATCCAGGGTGAAATGTAACAGAAGTACACTACCAGTCAAACGTTTTTGCACACTTAACATTACTCACTTAACATTTACTAAAAATACACTCAATATTCTTTGCGAACAAATAAATTAACTGTATGTTCTCTGTCTGAGTGCCATTGTTAGCAAGAAAATGTCATCAACATAACCTCCTCTAGCAGTTATAACGGCAGAGAAAATTCAAGGCATTCTTCCTACAAGGTACATTAATACTGCTCTGTCTCATGGGATGAAACAGTTAACTAGTGCAGTTAAAGTTAATGGAAACTTGTTTTATTTCACTGATATTTTCATTTATAGTTCACTCAACTTTCCAGTGCTTAACAGGAATAAAAAACCTGCAGCTTAGAAATAAGTGGAAATGGGGTAAAAACCTGTGTGGTGCAAAAACGTTTGACCAGTAGTGTTCATTACAGTGTGTTTACCTTGTGTGTCTCCTAACCGTTTACCTTGGCATCCATTGCAGGGCATGTACACACACACCATAGGCAATGTAGAGATGCCAATGGAGAATGGAGGTGAAATTTGAACCTCCAGGCCTGCAGGCATGAGGTGACAGTGCAACCCACTGAACCAAAATGCAGCCCCACTGTTAGGATTTTACATTCAGTGAGACATTAACCATTAGCATTACATGGATCATTCAATGATTCTGGCAGGACACAGAGCACAGCTTGCCGTAACTGATAGCTCTCATCCTTCCTGTGCATGTGTTTATGGCCTTCGTATGCGCTTAGTCTGATGCACGTACTGCACACTCCACTTACCGGATCATTCCGCATCATCTCCACCAGGACGCGCACCTGGCCGACCATGTCACTGCAGGGAAGAGACGTATATCAGGGAGAGAGCAGTGACCCTGTGGGCAGGGGGGCACGGGGGAGCTGGGGGCAGGCAGACTCACTCGCTGTTGGCACCGGCGACGGCCTGGTTTAGGAAGGCGCCGGGGGAGCCTTCATTTCCAGTTCCCACCGCGAACCCGGTCAAATTGGGGTTGAACTCCCGAAAGATATCTAGAAGGAGAAGAAGATAGAGAAGAAAGCTGATTTGTGTCGTGGCTGCGATTATTTGAGCTAAAGTTAATTTCACTGGGCTGAACGATGTAACTTACTAGGAAGGGTGGTGACACTGGTGAGATTCTCATCACCACCAATGCTGTGAAACACAGTGCCTGGTCAGTTGGGAATGCTAGGTAGCACCGAGTCACCAAAGACACAAAATAGGTGCCTGTTGCACTGCCTGACTGCAACTCCACAGGACCCCACCTCCAAGACAGCCCCCTGTACTCAACCAAAACATCCAGTATGTTATTGGGTGACCCTCCAGCTCCATTGGCTGCCTGTGGGGAGAAAGACAGCAGCTGGAGAGTAAAACACCAATCAAAGACATTTTTTATCTGTTGGCTCCTGCCCCTTGGGACTATATTGGACAAGTGAAACACAACTCCATGAAGCAGTGCAGAGACACAGATACATCAAACTCACCGTCAGGGAGTCTCCCAGAGCAGCCAACACTTTGATATCTGCAGGGCGGAGAGTATGGACTGTGGGAGGGAGATGCACAGAGTGAGAATGATAGAAGTCAGAGCATCTCCCAGGGTTGATAAATGAGGCACAAGATGCACAAGGTCATCAGTGCAGATCACAGAACTCACAACAGTGCTGCACTCAACCTTCCGCCGTCACTCCAGCAAACTGTCTGGCTTCACTCTGCCTTCTGGCCTTGCTCTTGCAGCATTTCCCCAGCCGTGGGGCAAGGGTTATATTGCAGCAGGAAGTACTTACCTGATGTAGGAGTCAAGGGGGAGGGGCTTTGGTCTTCACAAGTGAGCTCACTTCCTGTTTTCTGAATGGACACACAAATAATCATATGGATGGCTATGAAGTGCAGTGACCTGCAGTGCAGTGACCTGTTGTGCAGTGACGTACAGTGCAGTAATCCACAGCATTGAGAAAGCATCACTGTCCTATTGTCCAACTCCAATGCTTGCTCAGAACAGCCTAGTTAGGTACAATGTAACTGAGCTACATCATACAACTAAAGTCACAGCACTCCACTGTGGAGCAGGGACCGGAATCTGATTGGAGCCTGAAAAGGAGGAGGTACTTACCTGGTCCTGGAGGTCCACAGTGTCAGCGGTGCGGGCTCGTGGGTGGGGCTCTGGTGGGAAGTTTCTTTGGGTTCTCAGAAAGGGCTGGTACTAAGGATTGAAACCAATAAGTATGGAAACAGACTATGAGCTGTCATTTCCGGATATTTCCTGCTTTCACTCAAAGGAGCCTCACTAGGACCTCACCTCACTACGGCATGGGCCACTGATTAGGTTATGGTTGTCCAAGTCAGACTCCCCGGTCAGTGGCTGCAGCTACGAGAATTTGATTGGTTAGATCAGCTTCTAGGACTTGCACATTACCCACCCTTACAAGTGCTTCACTGTGATGCTCTGAAAACTTGTGTTATTCCTTATCATGCTGCTCGTTCAGGGAATGTCTTATGTTGGATCAATGGTTCAAGCCAGTAATCTTCACAGGATCTGACCCCAGTATAACGTAAACAAAATCCTGCTGAAGACTCACAAGGTTGGTCCAAAGCTGAGTAGCCACTTTGTCGATGTTCACTGTTCTCTGTCCCGAAAGGGGTGTCCTTCCCCCCTTTTACAGGACACAGGGATGGTCATACATTTCAGTAAGCAGGTGTCTCATCCCCCTCAGTCCTCATCGAAGTTTCATACATGTTCTACAAATCTACTCGGATGCCACTTACTGATATGTGACCAACACCCATATCCATGGGAGTTTCCTGCAGCAGGACGGCAAAGTTCTCTCCGTCATTGTACCATGGTTTTACCTCTAGGTGGCGCTTAAGAGACTCCTAAAAAAAAGCACATGTTTACAAGTAAACAAATGAGCGAATTTATGCCTTGGAGAAATGCATAAATATGCAATTATCCAATGATAGTACCTGCAAGGACAGGGCAAGAATACCCTTCGTCAGGCTGAGCTCAGCAGCATTGTTGGTCTCCTTGCAATGGCATTCCCTGTCAACATTCATAAGTATATAATGTGTTTGCAAGTGTGTCTTTAAAGTAATAATAATAATAACCAGCTTCTATAAGTTTGAAAAGTCAGAAGGCATGCTGTATTTACTAAACAGTAAATTACAATTTGCTCATTTTAGATTTAGGGTATCTGTGAATTGGTTATTTAAAAACAATTTGCACCTAGATCATCTAGTTAAATGCCACAGCAGTGGTGGGTCACCTTTCTTTCTGAGAATGTCCAACATCTCCATGTCCAATCCACACCATAGCGTTGACCACGGTGTGAGCTAACTGCACAGACAGAGATGTAGGAAGATTAGGAAGATATACGCCTCACACACCCATCCAACGCGCGCACACACACACACACACACACACACATTCCGCATAGCGGTCTTGGAGATGAAACACAAAACTGTCAAGGTTATTATTGCTGGGCAGATAAGGCATATCTGATAAACAACCAGAAGATTAAATTTCAAGGCCAATATCGATGTGTCGTGATTACAGTAATGTAGCTTACACACATTGGCTTAAAAAGTGACTGGTAGACAGGGAAATGCAGAGGGACCGAGATGCACATATTGTGAGGGACCCAAGTACATCCACTGAGCAGGAACCCGTAACCCCTTCACCTGTCCATGTAAGGTCTGCAGGGCCTGGTCAAACTGGTGCACAACCATGGCCACCTGTGAGCTGGCCTGATAGGGAGGCAAACACAAACAGAAAGAGGAAGATCACTGTATTCTTCATGGTGAAGACTGCATCACTCTAGAGCAGTGTATCCCAACACGGTCTACGGGGACCCCCATACGGTCAGCCCCCTGCTAGACAGTCCACGTTTTTACTCCCATGGACTGTCTGAAGGTCCGCGAGGACTGAGCTGGGAAAAACTGCTCTACAGAGCTATAAGATCTGGTATCAGCTAGCTGACCTGCTCTGGGCAGCCACAGAGATCATCCACTGGGACCAGAATCAGCACCAGCTTCCAGCTGCGGTCGCTGTCGATTGCCTGCAGAGAGGTAGCAGAAGCAGGAAATGTTGGATTAATCCCGTGATTAAACCTGCAGGACAGAAGGCATCATAGGGTAATGAAGGACCAGAGAGAAGCAGGACAGGAAGGAGTACCTGGTGGGTTTTGAGAGAGAGGGACAGGTGAGCAGCTTGACTTGGGAGGCTCCTACAACACACACAAAGGAGATGGATGAGATGCAGAAGCTCCACCTAAACTCAGGGAATCAGGCTGATGGACTGCTATTGCTTTGCTGCCTATCCATTAGCTATTCAGCTTAGGTACGTGGCTTATGAGTAGGGAGAGATGGATCCCATCCTGGGACTTGAAATAGCAACCATCAGCTTACAAGATAAAGTCCTTAACCATCAAAGCATGTGTCGTTACCTCTGAGGATACTCTGAGAATAGAGTGTCGGACTGTTCTGGAATCAAGCTGACTAGGCTGGGGTTAAACAAGGACAGGAGCTCTGAAAGTGAGAATGACAGAGGCGAAGAATAAACTGTTCTAGAAATACAATAAGAGTGGAATAACATTAAGACAGGGGTTCAAAAACATTATTAAAACATGGACCACCATATCAAACAAGCCCAGTCTAGGGACACCCTCCCATTATAGCCTAAACATATAAGTAACTAAGCACTAAGGAATAGGGCGGGGCGGGGGGGGGGGGGTGTATTTCTTGACAACATACGAAATCAATGTTCTTCTTCACAAAGAGGTAAATGTTCTCAGAAACATATATATGGGCACACACCCAGACGAAGAGCGTGTTGGCCAGGCTAGTTCACAGATCCTGCTATCTTTATGGTAGGGTAGATATCATTTTCATTGCCTGGGGACGTTGTCAAAAGTGCTGGCATGTGCTCTGATCGGGTCATTTACAATAATGTCTATACTGGCTTTGTCTCCCATCATTTAGAGTCATAATAGTCACACTAAAGCCATTTATACAGCTAGATATTTCACTATATCCTCCTGAGACCCGACCTATTCATTTATGTCCATTGTAGTGGACATTGTATTTTTGCATTTATTTTTTCACTGATGTTGGGAAACGTATTTATTCTTGTTGTGCACTAAAGAGGACATGCTGTGAAATTAAAATAAGAATAAATTTGAAAA